CATGCTCCCAAGTGATTATTTTGTGTGAATATCAATATATGCCTTACTATAGCCTTACTATCATGAAAAAAAGGCCAAAAAAAAAGTCCCAGTAATGCCTTTAAATACAAGTATATGCCCCAAAATATGCTGCAAAGTGAATAATTTGTGTTAAAAACTCCAAAATGTGCACATATCTCACCTTTGACCTCCACAAACAAACAAAAACTCTAAAGTACCCAAGACATAACATAAACCTGAAAAGCACACACATTTTGCAATGCAACATACTTATTGATTCATTATCTTAATTCCTCCACATTTAACATAAAATAAGCAGATGAGGCAGGTAACAAAATATGACATGCCGTAAAACTAAACTATTTCAATGTAAATAGATCTCTGTAAAACCAACAACTCCTGTGGATTATTTGGCCATCTAGGACGAAAACATGTAAATAAACAAACAGATTTTGCATTACAATCCACCGATACGAATGTGCATACTGCACTACGTGGTAGACACTGGTAATTTCTACTGCAGTAATCATATCCCACTCGGTGTCATTTAGTTTGTAGAAAAAATACTGCACACTTTTGGATGTGTTCTGTTGTGTACTGAGACTCACGTGCATCGCGTCGTTTCCCATCAGATCCACCACCATGCCCGACAGAAAAGCCGTTTTACATCAATTGCAGAATGCTGGTTCAGAATCTCCATCCACTCGGCTCAGCCAAAAGGGTGGCGTCTTCCTTTTTTCGGTACACTGCACAAGGACGCCTTTAAAGTATCAAAACAACTGCAAAACAACAGACGCTAAAGTGTGTGGGATTGCTGCAAGTCAACAGTTTGATTGACACACCACTCAGCCTGTCAGCTATCGCCTGATACACGAAGTGGCCTATCGTTGCTATGGACTGCACAGACAGGCGTGTCAATAGAGAGCCAGGCACAAAACGGGCTATTTTCAAATAAGTAATGTCCAACGAAAAAGTGGGACAAAATCTTCAATTTGCGTGACAAAGGCTAAAAGTGCTGTGCAATACAACGTGAAGCGGTGGTCACTGTAGTTACGGGGTGACAAACACCAGCTGCCAACCAGCTGCAATTATATTCTACACACTCGTAAACCCCCACTTGAATGAGATCTCACTTACCGTTTATTGTAAAGCAAATTTAGTGTCTGCAACAATAAGAACCACCGGTGAGTGGGAAATTATCCTCTGTTTCCTGTTTCCATCTTGCCCTCTCGCTCCGTCTCTCTGTCTCCCTCTCTCACTAAAACTAATACTAATACTAATACTAATACTGCCCTAATGCTAAATACTGTATGTTTGTCCTCCTACAGGTCATTTAGCTCAGCGAGACTCAGAATAGAGCTTGCATAGCAACAGTATAGCAGAGAGAAAATAGCAAATGAGGATTCGGCCATTCTGAGCACGACTCTTCATCGTTTAATGAGGATATGCTGCTGTTTCAACGATTTTATATATTGAATTAAATGTATTTGTTTTCAAAACTATCTATTATATAAAGTGTTGTTAATTTCCTCATCAGCAATGCCATTTTATTCAGAATAATAAAATACTGCAACAAATTGTTCCAAATAATGATATGAAATAATAACTAATTTTAAATTGATACCTGCCTCACAAATATAAACAATGCGGGGAAGGGGTGGGGGGTGGGGGTAATTGACGCTGCCGCATGAAAAGAGAGGCAAAGGCGATTATTTACATGATTTCAGAATCTTTTTATTTGAAATGTCAGTGTCCAAGAGAAAATAAAACAGCAATATAAATATTAGCATAAAAATAAGAGCGTAACACAGGGATATAGCCTGGGGACAGGTGGGGGTGGGGTCTAAGCTTTTGATAAGAAAGATAATACAGCAGGATAGAGCAGTATTAATTCAGCAGCGGACGGACTTACACATATATAATATTTATAATCATTTGTTCATATAGACAGAAAGAGAATGAAAGAGGCATTCTTATGGAAATGCACAGGGAGAAAACAACACAGCAAAAGAACGATAAGAGGTTACAGAAGGATAGAAACATTTCTGTGTTTTTTTAATTTTTGCTTCTTTACAGGGTGATAAAAGATAGTAGAGAGAAAATGAACACAAAAATATGCGCAACACATATCACAAGTTAGCTAGTCTACGTGTGTCACTTGGTTTACTTACCTAAAGTTATCTTTAATTCTTTATTTACACTGAAGAGAGTTAGTTGGCTTCCATGGTGCTTAATTACTACATTGCAACACAAACTGTTGAAGAACATCTCAGATTTGTATTTGTAACTTTTTTTTACCATTGGTTTTTCTTACTTTTCTTGAAAAACAAAATGCAACACATTCCCGAACAGCCACGTCTCGTTGGACAGGGACTGAAAATGTTGGACGTGGTCCCTGCTTTACAGACAACTGGCTCATACCATCGACAGGACTGGTTTATTTACAGCGGGAACAAGCCTGCAGGATCAGGGAGTGGAGGGGTGAGGTGAAGGGTAAGGAGACTGAGGTTTCCCATTGCTTTCAGCGGAGAAAAAAAAAGTTTCAAAGGACTCTAGAGTGGTTTCTTTTCCCAAAAAGGACAGTTGTGCCTGGATCTGTTGACCTCTACTGGGGTCAGTGCATTAGATCAAGTTTAGAGGATGGTCAACAGTGGTTCTTTTGTACATTCAGGAGGTAGAGGAAGGTTCTCCCAAACCCCCCCTGATTGACATAATGGTTCCACCTCAGTATCAGTGCCCTGCACCACAACAATACTCCCCACCACCCCCCACGGAACCTTCACTCATGCAGTTGTGTCTGGTCAGGGTGCTGACAGACAGACGGACGGACTACAACGTAAAGACTTTTGTTTCTTCTACAAACATTTTCATCTATACGCTATTGTATCATGATATCCCAAATAAACAATACTTGTTAATGTGTCACATCAATAAGTTTCTTCAGCACTTCAGGATAGAGTGAGAGTAATACTCCACTGAGGCCGCAAGGGCCCGAGGTGTGTCTATAAAGTCCTAAGCACTTAAGTTTACCACATTTACGTGCTTCCCTAAAAAGGAAGTGATACACTAACTCCCAACAACGTCTCATCTTCAGAATACAAACAGTGCATTTCTTTTTTTTTTTTTTTTTGTTTGGCTGTCAACATAGGATATTAAGTAAGGGGCGAATTGTAAGAGGAGGTGGTGGCAAAGAGTGCAGGACATGTCTCCGCCCTACTGAAGGTGTCACCGAGGAGTTTGACCAGCATGGACAACACAGGCTCTGATGACCTAAGATAATGTTACACCACCGCACTGTCAGCCAGCACTTCCTCTGATTGCATGCTCAAAAAAACTAACTGATCCAATTTTTTTTAACTATGATTACAAAAGTTATTACCATTTTACGTCAATGGAATGCTACATGTGCATTACGTTGACCTGCGATTGACGGGAGAACAGAAGACTCCTCCCCTTTGCTTTTGCAATGCTTAGTCTGTAACTCTAGACTAGTATATGTGGTTTGAACCTTATAGAGCATGCAAAATATTTTGTAATACCTGTTAAAACAGCAGCCTTTTATGCACAGGATTTATGCGAGAGCTCCCTGCAAGGCTGATCCTCTAGTGGAGTCTACTGGATGGCATGTAGCATACTTTACAGCTGACTTTCCAACACAAGGAAAGAACATTTAATCCAACATTTGAAAAAAACACCAGCATTTCTGTCTTACTTCATCACTGTGTACAGCCTTGTCATCCCAGCAAGGATCGTTACACTAAATTATTTTTGTCCACGTTCATTTAATTTTGCAAAAGGGAAAAAAAAACATTAACCCCTCATATCCTGCCAACGGTATCTACCAACATCAACAAAATAAGACCTTAAGTAAAGCAGAACTTTCAAAACTAACTTTCTTAAACACCATCCACCATCACCGGGAATAGAATTGATTTAGTGTCAGTGTTTGAACCGTGGCAAGTGTGAGTGACAGCCGTCAGATACCTCATGGAAGGATGTGTGGGGTTAGACTTCTTCATCAGGTCAGGCCAGGCTCATCTTTCATCCACCTCTTTCCTTCTACGTCTACTTCTTCTCCTTCTTGGCAGACTTCTTCTTGGAGGCAGGGGTCTGAGCGGCCTTGGGCGGCTCCACCTGTGCTGTGGCCTGGGGTGGAGGCAGTGCCTGCTGAGTGGCCTGCTGGGCGGTGGCCTGCTGCTGCTGAGGGTTGGAGGTGAGCGTAGCAGTGCTGCCAGGGATGTAGACGTTCTGGCGGTAGTCGGGCACATGCTGCAGAGTGAACTGGGGACTGTAGCGAGTGCTAAGGCCCATGGTGCCGGGCCCCAGTGTGGCTGTAGCCTCACTCACTTCTAGGAGGAAGAGAGACAGAGTGGGGGAGAAAGGGGGTAAGGTGAGGGAGGAAAGAGATGAAACTCATTAGATAAGAATAGTTTGGTTTTGAATGTTCTTGAGATGTTAGAATGCAAACAAAGTATAACATTTTCTGAAACAAGTACTAAGTATTTCTAGGAAAACAATTACACAATTCTTCTCATGTTGCAATGTCATACTGAAAAAAAATCAGATAATTATTCCATATGTACCTTGCATTGTTAGCATGTGTAGAGCTCTGCTCTGCTATCTAACAACATTGTGACAAATGTGTCGATTAAGAAAATAAACATTTTAATTTTGCAGGTAGTACATTATTCAAAGGATCATAATGAGGTTGAAAAAAAAAACACGATTTAAAAGTAAACATTTTCTAAAGGAAATATTTTGCTGTTTTCACATGATGCCCTTTGTTTCTTGATTTTTGTCACGCATGCCCTGGGTCTGTGTGCGAATGACGTAGCTGCTGCACTCTTAATTCTCACACAGCCCCTGCAATGCAGAGCCAGAGACTCAAACGTTCCCTCCCCCATCCTAGATGTTCTCAGCCTATATAAATACACACACAGTACGTGCATAAAACCTGCCTTGCATACTGCGGTGCATTTTTCCTGAGACTGTTTAACAGTGCATTAAATGTTATATTTGTCTCAAATAATCCTTTATGACATGGTGACATTAAACCATGGAGAAGTATGACTATTAGTACTTAACCACTGCGCCATTTGTTCTCCTTTCCCTGAAGCCCAAGGTGAAGCTGTTTCCCTTATTTTTCACTTTAAAGGAACATTAAAAAAACAACATAAAAGTAAATAAAATAACAGTGGAAACAATCACAAAATTTGTGCATAATTTCTCCTTGTAACCTTTTCTTTTAAAGCCTGTTGCTATGTTGACTGTTTTTGTTTGAGAATTCTTCCATGCCCAGGCCCAGATGACAGCTAAAGATGAGTCACAGTGTATGTGCGTGTGTGTGTGTGTGTGTGTGTGTGTGTGTATGCCTTCCGTGCTGGTTAAGAAGTCATAGTCGGGGCAGTGGGCAGAGCCGCCTAAAATGTCCTGCTTATGACAAAACATTGAGCATATGATCATTATGTCCCAGTGGAAAAACACCATTATGTCATGTTATTGAAAACAACACAGACTGTGTACTGTTGGACTTAGAAATACAGGTAGCGACAGTCACTGTCTGCTTTTTCACTTCACACTGTAGACATGGACATGGAGCCACTGATGTGGACATATGAACAGGTTAGGCTCGTCCCCCTCTAAAGAACAACGCCGGGGGTTGAACAGGAAGTGTGAGGAGATGAAGACAACATGAGGAGGTATAGGACTCACCGTTGGCAGCTGCCATCAGGGCCTGGAGCTGCTCAGCTTCAGTTGGGGGTTGTGGCCAGGGACCAGTTCCCATGGCAACCTCAGGTCCTCCGGTCGCCCTGTGGTGAAAGTGAAATGAGAAAGATGTAAATAACTCGTGGTTAGTCGTGAACAGGCTGTGTGTTCCGTGTCTCATGGTGCTGACACTTGTTTGTTTGGTAATGTAAAGGCAAAGCAGCTGACAGTGACGTACACAGCCTGAAGAAAAGTCGGTGCGTGTAATGAGGAGAAAAGTTCACAAACAGGACTTCTTGCAAACAATTACATCCTCTGAACACACTTGTGTTAAAGACTATACGCACGTGTCTGAACACAGACACACAACGTAAGCAGGTCCAAACACACAGTGCAACATTCACCGTCTCTGACACTGTGCCATCAAATGTCATTGGATATTGAACTATTCCACCTTTAGAAAGGAAATAGCTGTCTGCAGAGTCACGCTCACACTCACACACTCACTCACACACAATCACAAACTGCTCAGTAAGCACTAAACATTTCCATCTGGATTAACTTCATCTTCAAAGCTAGTTTTTTTAAAGTCTATGATTTGCCTGTCAGGGGGGAAATAGAAAAGGCAGGACTTGCAAAGTCATATCCTTCACTGTTTATTTCAATTTCCACATCACAACAAACTCCGCAGCAATAATTTCACTGTAATTCAGCTTCTGCCTCCAAAAAGCTAACCTCCAACTATGGAATTTTAGACTGTGCTTTAAGTTGCAATTAAACTGCCTTGTTTATACTGTAATGACATCACACTACCAACAATTATCGAGCAGTTGTGCCAGGAAAACAAAACTACTTCCCCATATTTTTGATATTCTTTTTAGGGGCAATGAGAAACATTTAGGGTATGTTCTGTAGGTCATAACATCCACTAAAATGTGGTGCAAAGCTGCCAGCTGTGTAAACCAGTCCACACATATAGTATCGCAGTAGTTCAACAAGTCTATACATACAGCATGACCATGCAGTGGAGACGAGTACTCTGTGTTTCATTTTAAATCAACTCAACTGAACCTTGATCAAATGATTAGCTATGAGAACAAGTTGTCACATCTTCAATTAAAAAAGCTGAAGGTTTTGTTTTTCACTCAGTTAAAGCAGAGCAGCCTTTTCACCTCACTTTAGATAAAAAGAACGCATCATTTGAAGCAAATTTTGTGTCCCTACGCTTATCATATCTTGTGGCTGTGTTAGCAGCTTCCTGTGGTCGGAATTATCATTTCCTCTGGGTCAAACGAGCCCTGTGATTTCCTTGTTTGGCCAAACACACTTCTGTCCCCTGTGAGATAACCCTGATTCCCAGGAGTCACCACTGTGTTGATTTCAATTGAAAGTAGAAGTAACCGGAAATAGGATTAAAACTCTAAAACCCTCTCAACAGTCGACAGTTAAACTCCAACATCTTTTGCTGTCCGGTTTATACACCACATTGTAAAGATAACACGAAGTGACGTTGAGCTACAACCATCACAGACATACATTTAAAAAAAGGGCCACACTGTAAGCCGCGCTCACAGGAGAAAAACAAGAGCTTTCAGACTGTGGTGAATATATAATGTACAGCACACATATACAAGGCACAGCAGCTCTACAAAACACTGCACGCAAAATCAAAAGAGTCACAGTCCTTTCTAAGCCACAGCAGGCATTGTGGCCTCTATGCACATTGATTGACAAAACCCCATCAAACCTTTAGGGAGGCTAACAGAAGCTATGGATTAGGTACATCTACACACAGCACAGCACGCAACTGCAGTGCAATATCTATATAAAAAGACTTTGAGCCACCATCTGCTCTCATCAGCTGGTCAGGTTCTGGTTTCATCAAATGGTTGCCTTAAACGACAGAGCACCGATCAGCTGAGAAGAACAGAAAAGGACCAGACGAGGTCTAGTTCTAAATTTGTACCTTTTCCCATTCTTCGGTGTCCATCGTATGTGTGTGCCGTACGGCATGTGGGGACTAAAACAAGGTACACAACAAGTTATACAGTCTGAAAGAGGCATTTCTATGAGATCCTGTAGTAAGTTGGTTGCGATTGTGTGCTACACATTTCTGTGAAAATATGCTGAGTTTGTTGAATTTAGTTAATGCAATGTCATTATTTTATAAAAAAAAAACTGCACTAGGTGTTTTTCTGTTTATTTGTTTTTTAGGAAAAGGCCTGGACTCGTGAGGCTGCAAAAACTGGTGTTGTCTCTCACTGGTTCAGTTAGAATGAACTCATCTGAAGACAGAGAGGGAGCATGGAGCAAAAAAGGGATGAATACAGCACCCATCCCCCTCTGGCTCTGGTCACAGTGCCTCATCAGTAGTACTGAGTGATGGAGCACAGGCTCAGAGAGCGCAGAAAGGAGAAGAGAGGATCCAGAGAGGGAGGGGGAGTGGAAGCTGCGGCAGCCATTTTATAAAGCAGGCTGCAAACAGGCAGAGATGCTCATTCAGGGGCCAAAATGAAGTAAAACTTGAGCAGATACATAAATCTGCACAGATGAAATTGATTCAGTGAATGTCTGATGCTTTATTCTGATTCTTATAATCACTCCAAAGGGACTGAGTGTTTTCATTTGGTTCTACTACAAAGAATCTAAGCCAAATTTGGTGCAATTGGATATGTTCTCACTGCAGCAGAGAGCCTCCTGCATGAACAACCATCTGCCCTCCTATTTTTATTTCCCTCCTCCTTTACTTTGTGCAATTGTGTAAATCACATGCCCAGACATTACTGTGGGGTGTGTGCATGTGTGTCAGTGCACTCACCCACTAGGTCCAGGTCTTTGTCCCTGGGTGAAGCGCCAGTCATTGTTGGGCGGCTTTTGCTGTGAAGAGAACAGAAGACGCAACATGAAACCACATCCAGATGTTCTTTGACGAAACCATTTGATTCAAAAACTGTAGTTCCTGTGTGGCAATGGTGTGTGTGTGTATGTGTGTGATCAGTGTGGGTCAGTGTTTGTGATTTTTTTTCAGTGAGGCTTAATAAAAAATAGAAGGATGGAACAAATGTTTGATGATCCAGACACCCATGGTGTTCCGGGAGTTCCAGGAGTATATACCAGAAAAGAAAAACAGAGTTCTAGACATTTGATTTGCCACAAAATACAGGGACATTTTTGAGAGTGATACAAAGTACTACATCACAAAAATAAACAATTTGTCTTGACATTTTTATCCATCCACTATTAACTGCAACTCTACTACAAAAGCTGTTCCAAAGTGAGGGGCAGCCCCCCATAGAGGTACAAAGACAGCATAATGAGTGCAAAAAATACAAGTCATATTTTAAGCTAATGTACCAACATGTAAAAGCCTAACTCATTCCAATATGTTTCTACGTCTCTCAGTGAATGTTCTCTACCTTTGTCCATCCCTAACTCCCTGGCCATGCCACCATGTCTCCTCCATGTCTCTAGTTCTTTTCCCTACTTTGTTTTTTCTTGTTTTGCACTAATGCGGTGAATAGATCCTTGGTCTGGCTCCAGATTCTCTCGCTTAATCGACAGAAGAGCTCCCTGGAGAGAGGGGCAAGTTGGATGATGTGCTGCATTATTAAAATGGTTGTTGTACCAGAGGGAATCATGGAAAAAACAGGAAGGGGAATATCTAAACGTCATAAACATGTGCTTATCTTGACTAAGAAATCAATTTGATAGTTCTTGAATAGGAAGCAAATGACCCAAATTCACGGTAAGTTAGTGAGTTTGACAGGCATTGGATCGTTGAGCAGACTACTGTGGACTTATAATAGAAAAAATATTTCTACACAAATGGAAAACATTTAGTTTTCTGAAAAAATTCTATAAATTGGACCACATGAATTTTTCCTAAGAATTCTCTCTAACTTACATTTTCACCAGTAAAAAACTAGTCTGTTTGATTTAATCCATATATATTAAAAAAAAAACTACAAAAGAATATCAACACATTTCTTCAATCAAAGCAAATGTTGCTGATGTTTACAGTCTATAAATGGACTGGGAGACGAGTCCGTGTGTCGGCATGTAAATCTGTCTCCGTTTTAGTAGATCAGCGCTCAGGGGGACGTAAACTTTCAAAATGGTCCAGCATTCCAGCTGTGTGAGTCACTTTCAGCACGAAAACATTCACAGACACACACATCTTTCCCAAGGTCAGATTCTGCATTCCTGTAGTTGTAGTAGAGGACATCTATTCTACCTCTGTGCCTCTACATGGGCCTGCACTCCTCATGTAGGTTGTTTGACAGCACAAACACATCACAAGCCGACAGGTCATATCTGCAGGCAGTGTTATTCTAAGCTTAAGTAAACTCCAAAACAAATGCCAACATGAGTTGCCACGGTGGAAGCGAGAACAGAAGAAGAAGAACAAATATGTTTCTAATGGATTCAACAGACAGTTCATATTAATGCAACTCTCAAACTTTACACATCCTCCAGTACTACCGTCTCCTGACTGATCTATGAATTATATGTGAGCTGCACCAGTATTAACTTTACAGATGTGATGTATGGTGGAAGAACTACACTAATCACAGAAACATCTGGAATTCCTCCAACAGGTGAACCTTCTCCAAAAATGTCTGGTTTGCTGGTTTGTTGTCCATTTTTATGGTGGCAATAAGGTGTCAAAAAAAAAAGAGAATAAATATCCAATATCACCTGCTCTACCTGAAATCTCACTCTTTGTGCAAGATTCAGTTTCCTGACGCCCACACTAAAGTGTTAGGAGAACTGTGCCTGAGCTGCACCTGGTGTTCCCTCTGCGAAAAAGAGGAAGTTGATTCTAATCTGTGGCTTTGCCTAAGATAATCTGTTAACACACACGTACACACCACACCATGTAACCTTCAGCAGACAGAGGCAGATAAGTTTACTCGCTGCTTGTTTACCAGGAATCTCGGATTTCTCCCATGCAAAAACAGTTCTTTAGGCAAATGATTAGGCCAGTGGGATTTGGAAAATTTAACTTTTGAAATACCAGAAGCAGCACTTGTTATAAATTCACTTTAAAATGAAAACAGAAACTATCAAGGTTCAGATCTCATGTTGTAATGCTATGTTTCCTTCAGCCTTGATGTTTCAGGGCACATTGTCTGATACTGTAAGTAGGTTTGATGCTCACAAAAATCTAAATTATGAAACAACCTACCGGACGTGTCTGCCAAAAAACAAATACTGATTATAGTGCAAATTATTGAAATGTAACTTTAAGTTTAGTAAAAAGGGTCAACAAAATTTCACATGTCATCACATGGTCATATCTTATAGTCAAAGTTGAAACATGACAAAGAGTTTTTATTTATCAAACTGGCTTTAAGTATTTTTAACTCATATGTCAACAAAATTATTACTTTAAACATGTGATTTCAAAAGTGTGGGTTGGCTACCCTAGGGGTACGCTATTGCAGACAAACTAGAACTAGTAAGTAAAATTACTTACAGGTAAACAGACAACCTGCTACTTTAGATCCATTATACTCTGCCTTTTCAGCAACTCTGTTGCTGGGGCACACGTGTATAAAATCATTCTCCTCTCCTTTTATCTATCCATCCACCTCTTTTCCCTCTGTTGTCCTTATTACACACGTGTCACTAGAGCAGTGAGACAGATGGTCGCCTGCTGACCTCAGTGACAAAATAATTCAGTACATTCCCAGGGTCTGTGTTACACAGATTCATGCCAAAAATAAGCACACTAGAGGATTAAAAAGGATACAAGTTCTGATAGGTGGAGAGGAGACACTTGCTATTAAAACACAGTATTAACTTACAAACAAAGACTCCACAGTAGTGTAACATTAGAGCTGACGAAGGGACTACAAGGGAGGAAATTGTATTTACCAATTGACTTTCCCCACAGGACTCATACTGGTAAAAGTGTCTGCCTTCACCCAAACACAAAGAATGAAATTAATGCTTATGTTGTGACTTTACATCCAGACACAAGTCAATTAAAAATGAAATTCAAACATTAAATTATATGATCAGAAATGCCTCACTGATTCTGGACCATGGAAACAAAGCTATAAATTCAGTGGACAACAGGAAGTCAGAGGTCACACCATTGACCCCATGAATTCCTGTTTTTCAACCCCAGCTTCATCCTTTAACTCTTTGCCTCTACCTCTCTGAGCATGTCTTCCTCTTGTCCTTTTCCTCTCCTTTAACCCTCGTCCTCCCAAAACCTCTTTCTCTCCACTCTTCCTGTTTAACTTCAGCTTCCAGACATCTTACTGAGCTAACACTGCAGGATTTATTTTCATCTCTTGTCTCCACCTCCCCATCTGCTAGGAGCACTTGTGTCTCCTCCAGCTCAAACATAGTCTACATCCCCATCTTCTAGAACTGGGTCACGTTAAATGTTAGGCAATGTTTCAAAGTCTACACCTGGCAAATATACAACACTACAAGAACTTTTCTTTCAGATTACTGCAAAAAAGAATAGGAAAAGTAGCAACATAAAACAATATTATTAAGGACTAAGTGGAACTTTTTTGGACGCTGCGATAGGTCACAAAAAATGCATCTTTAAAATGTTTGTATTGCACTTCAGTGTGTTCAACCATACAGCCCCTCCTCTTGGAGAGCCAAATGCTAAGCCCTTTAAGCCCTCACCTCACTGGCTGAGTTCATAAGGTGCTT